ATATAAATATATAAAAAAATATTAAAATAAATTTCGGGCACCAATGGCGGGTTCGGGCTGCCCGACTGGGCTCGGGCAGCCAAAACCTGCCCAAAGCCCGTCCAAAACCTGCCCGAAGCCCGTCCATGATCTTTCTCGGGTCGGGTCGGACAGCCCGGAAATTCGGGTAAAAATTCAAAATTTTCAGTAATCGCAGACGGTCCGTCCAAAATTTCAGCACTACTAATAGCTTAGTCAGATCGATTTCGAAGACCTAACTAAGAGCACTGGCTGGTGCAATCAGTGCTTATAACAAATAATTAGGGCAAGATACCACTCTTTTTTATTAGGATAACGCACAGCTTTAAGCTAATAGAGAAAGTGTGCTATAAAATTTATAACTCCATCAGCATTGATTAATTTCGGTAAAGAAAATGGTCAAAGATCAACCAAAACAACTGCAAATAAGGAACAGGCATGTCAAGCTAGATACTATTCGTGGGCTCTAAATTGATCTCGACGGTGGAGAGAGTGTAAGAGAGGAACAAAGTGCATTTCAGATAAGTTATCCGAGGCAATAGTAAACACTTTATTTTTCAGTGAGAACCATATTTCGTCTAATAGCTTGGTAACATATTCAAGTTAAACTATTTACGAAATACAAACTTGAGAAAATCTAAAAATTAATATGCAGGGAAAAGTATTTGTATATGCTTGTCTTGTAGCTCCAAATCACAAAATGGCATTAAGCGAATCACCGGACCAAAAAGTTGTTCTTTTATCAATCTCCAAATTCGACTTGTGGGTAGAACAACTATCAGATTTATGTAACAGATGCTGATACCCAAAAAAAAAAGACAACCAGATTTATTTTCACAAAATTTGAAAATGACAACAATGATTTTATTTCACACGCACCAAAATCATTACTTTTTGGTTTTTAATATGCAAAATCTTCACTTCTAAGCTCTAGCTAGCTAGTAAAGAATGTAGAACAAAAGCATGGTAACTGGTGAGTGAGCCACTTCTTAAGGCCTCCTCAACAGAGTCTTTAATTCTTTATTACTATTCCAAATCCTCCTTAGAGCCAGGAAGAATGCCGATAAAACACTTTACAGCCACAAAAAAAGAAAAAAACCTTATTTCTTTTACAACATTCACAATTATACAAAAACATCACAAACCAACTTTAGGAAAACTATTGAATAGACAAAAGAAAGCAAGATTATCCAACGGAACAAAAAAAAAAAAAAAATCCAACTCTGAAGAAATTATAACATACACAATTGGTGACTTGTCCTCAATAAGAAACTGGAACACAAGCATAGAACAAGGGCGCTCTATCAGCCAACCACGTGCGCATCGAAGAAACCATCTCCGACCACTGAACTTCTCCGCGGAAATCGCCGTCCCCGTCCTTCTCCACTTCAATTTCCGCACACCATACTCCCACCTTATCATCCAATTCTGGATTCACAATTTGATCCTGTAATTCTTTCCACCCCATAATTACCAACCTCCCTCCCACATTGACCATCCAAGGCTTCCACAAGTGATTCGGCAACAACCCAGTATTGTCCACAATCTTGACCTCTTTCCACACCCCATTTCTCTCATCGAAGCCTTTAATCATCCCCTTATAGTTTTCAGTGCAATACAACATCCCATTCACCTCGCAAATCTGCGTAGTCCAACGCAATCCCGATCCAACACCACTCCGAAACACCTCCCACGTCTTCGTCGCGGGGTCGAACTTCAGCTCTTCAAACTCCGACCAGACGCAAACCTTACCACCCCTAATGGCGCAACCATCAACCTCTTTTCCGTACACCCTAAGCTTGGGGCTTGGAAGGGCCTCCCACCGCCCATCCACCGTGTCGAACACGTTGACCCATGAGTTCTCCTCCGTCCAACATCCGATCGCGTAAATCTTGCCGTCCAAAACTACGGTCTTTGCGGCGCACCTTTGGACCGTTGGCATGCTTGGACCGCGCTCCCACGTGTGGAAGCGGCAGTCGAAAATCCACAACTCGGTTGAATAGCAGTCGCCTGATATGCCGCCCACGACGTAAATCTTGGGGCCCACGGCGGCGTAATTGGACCAATCTAGCCGGTCGTTGGGATCTCCTGGGACCGGGGCGACGATGATATCGTTCTTGCCGTCGTCGGGTCTTCTTCCAAAGACCGTGAACCAACCCACGGTGTGGCAGTATCGGCTTCGGATTCTGAGATAAGGCAGGAGTTCGGTGCAGTTTAGGGATGATCGGACGGCGAAGAAGTGGGGGGAGGAGAGGACGGATCTGATGGGCTTCGACACCGCCGCGAGAACACGGTGATACCGTCTTGGGACGCGAGCCAGGCATTGCAAAGCGACGTCGTTTGGAAGCGACGGGATTAGGATCTCCGGCAGCGCTTCTGTGACGGTGGACATTGTGTTTGTCAATGAGGTCAACGGAAGAGAAGTAAACGAGAGAAGAACGTGGTTGTAACTTGTAAGGTCTGGGTTGATTTTGTTGTGTTTTTGCACTCTTTAATAGAGGAGAACACTGGATTGCTGACTTTTTTATTTTCATTTCTTTTAGTCGAAAGGTGGCTGCTCTGGCTTTGTTTGACCGTTTTATCAAATAATATCAGTTGTAAAAAAATGTGAAAAAAACATCGTCGTACGTACTCTCGCTGCTGTCTACAACCTTTGAATCTTTGACGTGGCGGCACAACGAACCAACGGCGATGCACATCGGTCATCTTGACCTTATCAATAACATGGCTTACATATACGTGATAACGATATGAAAAACTATCGGTCAAATTCTTGACCTTCCTTATCAATAACATGGTTTACATATACGTGATGACGATATGAAAACCTACCGGTCAAATTCTTGACCTTCTCAACAATATCGCAGCATGGCTTATTCTTTGGCCATGTCAAAGAGGTTTTTTTTTTTTTTTTAATTCTTTTTATTTTTTCTTTCTTTCTTCTCTTTTTTTTAAAGCTCCAATACAGTTTATTTTTTATGGTGTTATTTTTCGAAATACTTTTGTCCCTACTTTATTTCTATTAACATAATTTCTTTTAAATGTCTCCTTCATTTTTTTTTTTCTTTTTTGCCAACTGCTCATGTATGTTGTAATTATTTTTTTATGTGCTTTTTCAAATGGGTTTTTCCCTCTTGTACTTCTTTTACCTAATTTGTTACAGATGAGTTTTTACTTAATTTTTTGTGTAATACATTTTATATCAAAAGTGGTCCTTATAATTTTTTCCCTAATTGACTCACTAAAACAATTTATTCTCAAACATTTTTTTTAAACAGCTTTTTCAGCGCTTGCAACTATTGTTTTTTTTTTTTGGTAAATACCTTTTTTCTAATTTGCTATTGTTGGGGTAACTTTTCTTGAATGTGTCTCTATTAAGTTATTAAACGTTTTTCTCGATATGACCCTTTTAACTATTATTTTCTTTTTCATATGTCCCATCTAATTATAGTTTTAAAATAATTTACCCAATTAAATGTATTTTCTTCTCATACATGTTCTACTTCTATATATATATATATATATATCTATATATGATATTCGACCACAATACAAGTTTCGATTGGAACGTTTATAAATCTTTAACATAATCGAAACTTTATAAATCTTCAACATCTATGTAAAGAGTGACAATGATAACTTATCTTTGTCTTTCACGTTGCCATACGTTTCCTTCTTCATTTTCTTGTTGTTGTTCTTTTTGCTTTTGGTTTCTATTAATTTTTCTTTTAATATTCTTCTTTATTTTCTTATACCATGTTTTCCTTATTAATTTCTCTTCGTATTATATTTTAAAATGTATTCAATTAAAATATTTTTTCTTTTTCTGAACACGTGGAAATATTTTGTTTTTGAATATACGCGTACTTAAATATCTTTTTCATTTTTTTAGGTACACCTTAATTAGTAGTTTTTTAGTTTATATGTACTCACTATGATCTATCTACGTATCTATATATTCATACCTAACTACTAAGATCGAATCCATTTTTAGGGGTGAAAGAAACGTGCGAAACGTATTTTTTTTATACTTTTTTAGCTTTTTATTTTTTTATTCTTTTAGCTTTTTTAAAAGTTTTTTTCCTCCTTTTTCTCCCTTATTTTTTTATTACATCTTTTAACCTTAATTTTTTATATTATTTTCGTATATATCTCATTTAAATACTTTTCTTATTGTTATATAAAATATTATTTTTTTAATTGCCTTGCTAAATTAATTTATTATCAAATGTATTCCTACATAAGCATTTTTTGTTTGTGATCCTTTAAATTTCAACTTTAGTTGCGAAACATTTCGCATAAATTTTTCTTTTAAGATTTTTATCTTTTTTTTCTTTCTTTTACTTTATATCTTTTTTTTCACACTTTTATTTTTATTTCTTTTATCGTATATTTTTCCTTTCATTTTTTTCCCTAACAATTTGTATAACCATTATTTTATATGAGTCACAAGCACGGAAGCACGCATTTTTTACTAGTAAAAATAAAAGTGGCAATGAATACAAGTAATTTGTTATACCATTCTTTTGTCATTCCTTTTTACTTGTAATCTTACTATTAATTTGTTTTACTAAGTTTTCAAAGTGATAAACAAAGAATTTGGAACAAGCAATGACAGATTAAATTTCAATCTTTTGACGATATTAGCAATATATATTTGACCCTCATTATCCAGCGAAAAAAGATTAAACAACATACATTTCGCTATCCTTCTAAAGAAAAAAGTACATTTTGGTGTCCAATTGTAATACATTTTTAGGCCTTATTTCTTTTACTGATTTAAGTTTTACTAAGTAAAAAGCTCTTTAAAATAGTTACATCTAACTTTTTATTACAATAAAAAATTCTCATATAAAATTATATCTCAACTTAAATTAAAAACTTAAATCAGCGAACTAAACGGATCTTAATTAAATAACAACCGGTATGATAATTGCTATCATGAAGACATGAACCAACTTTGACCAATTGACAAAAGTATTTGGCCCAGCATCCTACGTGTCAAGAGAAGATGTTTGGTGTAGTAGGGTCCACAGTAGCTAAGTGTGAAAGCCCACTTGATCAACCAATCAGCCTAACGTCCCAATACTCTTAAAAACTAATCACAATATTAATAACTTCATTTATTAGTTGGGTATTGACTTAGTTTAGTAGTGTTGTGGATTTTAGAAATATTGTTTTTAATTATGTTGAAGGAAGAAATAACTATTATAGAAAATAGTTGAATGTTTAGTAAAATATAATTATAATAGCAGTGTTAATTCAAAAATTAGTATAATAACGTTTGGTAAATTATAAAGTTGAATTACAGTGGATAATTAAAAATTATGACTATATTATATTATATTATAATATAATATGTATAATTACAATATAATATATATTTATTATTATATTTAATATAATACAAAGAAACTATTATTATATAATATATTATATAATTATAATACAGAATATAATAATATTATTAAAATATTAACTGAAATAATTAAAATAACGATTATATTATATTATATGATAATATAATATATATAATTACAATATAATGTATATTTATTATTATATTTAATATAATACAATAAACCTATTATTAAATAACATATGATATAATTATGATATAGAATATAATAATATTATATGATTAATATAATTA